ACTTAAGCATAGGATACATTTTGTCTCCTGAAGATGGGGGAAATGAACTGAACTCTGGGTTCCAAGAACTGAGTATTTGAATGTCTATAACCCACGTGTCAAAGAACTCTGTAACAGAACACCTTATAGCTCAACAACCATCCATCTCTAATTCAAGATGTTCTTTTTTATTGGTTCATGCCTTTTTCTGAAAAATAAAATGTATCCTATGCTTAAGTCAGTTGCTACAAGTTGCCCTTCTTTAATTGGGAAAAATAAAACATGGTTCCTAACCTCTCTCTGCCATCCAGAAGTTGTAAATAGAAAGGGGAAACAAAAGGCTCCAGTCACATCCAAGCTTTTTCTAAAGTGTATAAACAGTTTCAGAGTGTTTTCAGTGAATTTGGTTATGTTTTATTAATCACATATTTCTTCTATGCTGCCTCAACTCTTTTGGGAAGGAAGTGTGGTATCAATAAAGTAAATTATCTTTTTTAAAAAACCTTGAAATAAAATAAATTATTGCAATTTGTGCTTTCTTGTCAAAATCAGGGCCTTGTTCTTGGTGATGCCAACATGAAAGGAAAGAGAGGTTCTGGTCTTTGTCTTGTATTTCCCCCCAGCATGTTGGTGGTGTTCCTGTCATCCCTGTTGAATATTTGCTTGCCATGTTAGGAGCAGTTTCTGGGGTTTTGTCTCAAACATGAGTATGTCTTTAAATTTAGGTCTGGGAAGTGGGGCTCATCCTAGTCTTTGTATTTGCTTCCAGAGATAGAGATGGTGATCATGGAGCGCAGCAAGCTCCCAGAGTTGGCCAGCACCTCCATGCAGGAGCAGAACACCACAGATGAGGAGAAGAGCGCCGCCACAGGCTTGGGAAGTGTGCAGTGGAGCAGGTAGGAGGCCCAGCCCTACTGAGCTTGTGCTGATGCTGGGGCGGGGCTGTCCACAAGCCAGCCTGGCAGGGCGGGTACTGCTTAGTCTCTGGGATGAGGAGATGGGCTCAGCAGTGAGGGTGGGTGCCTTGGCTGGGGTGCCCAGTAAGAATAACCCAGAGCCTCTTCCCACCACCCAAATGGTCTCTTCTGCCTCTCAACCGAGCCATCTTGCTTCCTGCCTTTCCCTCTTCGTCAGCCCTTGGCCACCAGAGATTCAGCTCCTCTTGAGAGGCATGGGGACAGAACTGGCATTCGACAGTGTGGTGCTCACCCCCTGGAAAGAGAATGAGCAGGACGTGATGCCACCCCCCACGCACTGCAGTGCCGGGCCCTGTTCCAAAGGGCATGAGCTGCCTTGTAACCTTGTACTGGCCATTCCTGGAAGGCCCTGGGAGCAGTGTTTGGGTCTCCCTGTCTCATTCATTTTCTGCCTCGGACTCGGCTGTCCGCAGGGCCTGCCCTCATGACTCAGCCAGTGTGATTTAATGCTGCTTCCACCTTTGACTTTGTGCCTGATAGTTGGTTTCAGTGATGGTCTGCCAAAGCTACATCCTCATAAACCTTCGAGATGCCACATTCCCTGGAGCCCTGCTATAGCAGCACCCCTTTTGGAATGGACTTGGGTAGAAGGCTGCTGCCCAGTGTGCAGCGAATTGTTAGGATGGCTCCTCATCTGTTGGACCCACTGCACAGACCCCTGTAATAACCTCCTAACCCTATTTAGTGTTAATAAACACACAACAGCACGGTTTCTCTGTCAGCCTATAAGGAATTCATTTCCTAAACCCTGAAGGTGGGGTGGTTGAAATTCACACAAACCCCCATCCTATTTCTTAATCCTACTCGACGTGAAGCGTTGAAGCACACTGTTTGTTTTCTCCACATCTTATTTATCTCTGCTTGGCAGATGTTTCAGTGACCTGACAGGATTAATTTTTATCAGATGCACAAGGAAGTCATTTTTAGTTTTGGCTAAATAGAACACACTGGAGTGCAGTGTGGGCTGTCAGTTGTTGTAACTTACAAAGACCTTTTTGATTTTGCTTGGCAGCAAAAAATGTAATTCCTGAAGCTCTGAAAATTAAGGAAAACATTCTAAACACAGAAAGAAAGGGGGAAACAACCTTTAGGTGCTTGGTGCAGCATTAGTTAGAACATGAATAATTGGAAAAACCACAAATGACTAGAAGTGGGGGGTGCTCAAGCAGATGAAGGTGTATCTGCTTAATAGATTATTGGCTGTTGCTTCCAAGTGAATACTGTCATGATGTGTTCGGTTTCTTAGGATCCAATAAGTGGAAACACAGCACATATTTTGCATAGTATGGTAAAACTATAGCTTTGCTAAAGGAAGAAAAATATCTATGTGTAGTCTCAAAAAAAAAAAAAAGGTGAACAGACCAAAATGTTATGTTTGAATGTTGGGGTTAGAACTTCTTTTTTCCCAAATTTTAGTGAAGAGAGGGATTTTCTTAGAGTTGATTGAGATTGTGCCTTAACTTTTGGTGACTTTAACTGTCATCTTCTACCACGTGGTTTATAATGGAAGCTGATCCTGGTGCCTTGAGTTGGGCCATAAGCAGGCTTATGGCCCCGGGAACGTTTGGTCCAGAGTCCTGCTGTCCTGAGACTGAATGCCAAGGAGAGAAGGTGGGGAGTTGCCTTCTCCTTTGCAAAAGTATTGAGTTGTTTGTCATTAGAAACACCTCCAAGGACTTCTGTCCTCCTAGTTCCCAGCACTGAGCAGGGAGGAGGGCGCTGAGGATGAGGCAAGGGGACAGTTTGTTCTTGACATGAATTTGGATCTTGACATTGGTCCACTTGTTTGAATAAACACCGTAGTACAAAGCATAACTGTTCTTGCATATGGGCTGTATCTGCATTCAGGGTGAAATATAGGCCAAGAAACTAAAAATCATTCAAAATTTTTTCTTTAAAAAAAAGGCATTGAAATGTGCAAAGAAGGAAAAAAAGATTTCCATGATGCCAGCATTCAAAGGCAGCTGTTACTAACATTTTTGTTATTTCCCGCCAGTTTTTTTCAATGCCAGTTTAGTGGGGATTCTGCCCTCCTTCCCCCAGTACCTTACACCATACCATGTCATTTCCTTCTTCTTCTTTTCTGTCTGATCACATCCCAGACTCTCTTTTGCTTTCTTGTATTCTCAGTAAACAAAGCACAAATGGCTTCGTAGTGTTGCCTCCCATCAGAGATGCTGCATTCTCCCAACCCTCGCTCCACTCCTGGGCGCTGGTTATTCACATTATTCCCAAATGAAAGTGTAGTCCAGACTCCAAGCAGCCTCTTTACAGGAAAATACTTTCTACTTTACCCCACTTTTAATTTGAAAGTGCTGTTGCTGTGGGCTTGCAAAAACCCAAATGCACACATTGCAAAGCTGTTCATGCATCTGAAAGGTGATGCTTGATCTGGGGCTCGAAAAACAGCCGGGACTTAAACATTCCCTTTAAGGTTATTCCTTTAATTTCTGCGTGTCCCTTGTTGGTTTGAAATGTATGACAAGTACATTTGCACTACTTTCTCTTTGGCATTTTCAGTGTAATATTCTGAATCAATGGTACATTTATGGTGTTCAAAGTTCAAAAAAGTATAACAGGTTATGCACTGCTTCTCTGTCGCACTTTTTCGCTCTCCCCAGACAACTGGTGTTGACAGTACCCGTGTATCCTTCAAGGGGTCAGGTGTGCCTTTGGTCACTTATCAAGGCGCTCTGCTCTCTTGGCTTCAGCCTGGCATCCAGAGGGGCAGCCACAAGCGGTCACAGGATCAGAGCGTCTGGCCCCAGGGCCAGAACTGTGCATATTCTGTTATCCTTGTGTTGAAGAGCCTTTCCAGGCCAGGCCCTTTGCCTGGAAGGGCAGCATTTGGGGTGTGCGGTTTGTGATATTTGCAGCCACTCTATAGATCTCACCCACAAAGCATCAGAGGTGAGAGACCTCATCGATTCTCACCAGCCAGGGAAAGTTGGTCCAAGAAATTGCTGGGCCAGGACCTGCCAAAGTAAGATCATGGAGAAATGTCCTTGAAGTATTCAAAATAGAAATCAAATAGCAGCTCCTGTATACTAGCGCTTTGCACTGTGTATCTGGCCCTATCGTAAATGCCTTTCGGTCATCATTTCACTTGTATCCTCGTAATAACCCTATAAGGGTTTAATCCCCATCTTACAGATGGGAAATGGAGAGGTTTTAAGTAATTTACCCACAGGTTTACAGCTAAGAAGAGGCAGAATCAGAATTTGAGCCCAGGCAGTCTGGCTCCAGGGCCCACATTCTGAAATTGTTCCAACTTGGTGCCTTGTCTGGTATTGCTAGTCTGTCACATTGCCCTGTTTTCTTAATTTCTTGTCACTCTTTGCCGTGATGATGTGGTCCATCTGTCCTCAGTCCCTGCCCATTGGCACAGGAGTGCCACAGAGCAAGGATATTGTATCATTTATCCCTAGTGTCTGGGACAGCTGGTGAATAATTGTGGAGTGATTAAGTGGTCTGTTCCTCAGTCTCTTTCCCCCTCAAAATAGCAGCTTCTAATGGCAGAGCCTGTCTCTCATTTGTCTTGTGTCCTCAATGCCTGGTGTTAGACTGCGTACACGGTGGACTCCCTGCATGCTGGTAGTAGAGCTAAGAGGCAAAGACTAGCACCCCATGTGCAGGTAGGAGAGAAGTGTCCACCTGTGTGTGCCACAAAGCTTACGTGTGTCCTTCCTCTTTTCCAGGCCCTTCCTGGACATGGTGTACCATGCCCTGGATAGCCCAGACGATGATTACCATGCGCTCTTCGTGCTCTGCCTCCTCTATGCCATGTCTCACAACAAAGGTAAGCCCGCTCACCTCCTTGCCCTTCTGGCATCCCTGCCCTCCTGGCATCCCTGCCCTCCACTCTCTGGAGAGAAGAAGAACTGCTTTTCTTGAGGAATTAATTCCCTTTCTGCTTTTAGTGAACTCCCTCAAAACTTCTCTTCAACCTTGTTAGAATTTCTCAGGTGTTTTTCTACAGACTAAAGCCACAGGAGTTGGTTATGTAGGCAGTATGGGGGGAAAAAAGATTCAAGTGTGATTGTCTGACCCAGACACTGTATTCACACTGTGGTTTTCTTCTGACCCCTTGCTTTACAACTGCCTTAGTGTCCAACCTCTTTCCTAACATCAGAATTGAAATTAGTCAAAGTGTAATCTTGTTTTTGCTATTTATAATAGTTGATGTTCTCATTCTGGGTTCCTAGCTAAAATAGACTCTGGGTGGATTGTGTGGAAGCGTAGGTTTCCTTTCTAAAGAAAAGTGTGGTTCTCTGGCTTCCTCTGTTGAGACTGAGTGGTCAGGATCAGACTCCTACAGACTCAACAGATTTGATTAGGATTCATTCATTCACTTCCTCCCTGGGAACAGCCTGGTGTGTGCCCTACCTGGCTTGACAGGAGCAAGTTCTGAAACCTGCACATCAGAACCTCTCCCAAGAAGAAATCAAGGATATTTCTCTGGCCCCTGCCATGAGCTGGGCTTGGCATAGATGAGACTTTGCATCAAGGGATGTTTTAGTAGGTTTTTCATAAGCTTATTGGGAAATAAGTGGAGGTGGGTTTTACTAAGCCTGTGAATGGCTAGAGACATTTAAAAAGCACTCAATGCGTATCAGCACATCATTTCACATCCCTCTAGAATTGCCTTGTTCTTTTTAATCATATGTCTGTGCCATCATTTATTCTGCCATTCTCTAATTGAATGGGACTGAAACTATTTCCAGGCTTTTCCTTATTTTTTTTTTTACAATATATCTTTATTGATTTCAGAAAGAGGAAGGGAGAGGGGAGAGAGAGTTAGAAACATCAATGATGAGAGAGTAGTCATTGATCGGCTGCCTCCTGCATGCCCCCGACTAGGGACCGATCCCGCAACCCGGGCATGTGCCCTGACCAGGAATCAAACCATAATCTCCTGTATCCTAGGTTGATGCTCAACCGCTGAGCCATGCCTGGCCAGGCTCCTTCTGTAGATAGGACTGACCAATGATGTTCTTCTCCCTCCACAGTCTCATTCACTCCTATGGCTTCTGTGATACCCATTTGCTCCTGGCTTGGTGCCTGGCACACCGGAGCCCTCAGTTATTGGGAGTAAACAGACCTCCAAGAGACTGAATTCCTGCTGGTTGCATGCTGGACACTCTACCTAGGTGTTTCAGCAACACCTTGAAACAGTCTGTCTATACTATACTTATCCTCATAAATATACCCTAACATCATCATACTTCCTGCCATTTCTGGTTTAGTTGAAATTGCCAATGAAGGTTGAGACTGCCATGACCTTTTAGCTCCTTCCCTCCTTGGATCCCAGCATTTAGTCATCAAGTTTTGTCAGTGCTCTCTCTTCAGCCTCTCTGATCAGTAGAATTTAGCTCAGGGTGACTCAGTGCTTGGCTCTAAGCTAGGTGCTGGAGGCGAGAACCAAAGGCATAAGAGCAAGAGAGATCTGGGCACAGCATTCCGGTGGCTATTATCACAGCCTTCCCAAGGGGCCAAACATATTTTACAGTCCATCCTCCATGGCACTGCGAGGTAATCCTCTGTAAGACTGTGTTGACCATGTCCTTCCCTATTCAGAAGCTTTAGTGCCTTCTTCTCTCCCTTAAACTTCATCCTCCTATATTTGTCATTTACAGTATCCAGACTTCACCCATCATTCCAACTGGATTTGATCCCCCTGACTTCCCTTCACAGACTCTGGGCTTTGGCCCAGGGGTTGACATTTTTATGTAGTGATAGAGCTCTTTCATAGAGATAAACTTGCTGTTGTGCTCATTGAACTCTTGAATGTTCTTTTGGTTGCAAGCAACAGAAACCACCTTTCATTAACCTAATTAAAAGGGAAAGTCTATAGGATGGCCCCAGGGGCAGCTCATAGGGTCCAAAAAGTTGCCGAAAAACTAAGGGAAGAGCAGGAACTGACCAGCTCTGAGGACTTTTCTCAAGGTAGATACTGATTTGGCCCCAGCAAATCCCAGGCTGGAAATTGGCCTTCATTCAAGTTTCAAATTCTTGGGCAAGAGCCTGATTGTTCCAATTTGGTATTGTGTCTAACTCTGGGAACAGTCAGGTATGGCTAGAGGTCAGAGTTACATAGCACAGAGTTGGCCCCATGGACTCAGCCCTGTGTCTGGTACTGTTCCCAGAGAAAGGAGCTCTTTGAATGCCTGGCAGCCACCCCAGTCAGTGCCGACATGCCTACCTGTTTCTGGCTGGTTGGCCACCTTCTTTTATTTGTGTTTTTTCTTACCATTTTCAGTATCCCATCACCTGCACCTATTAAAATGTTGCTTGCATGTCAAAAGTCCTCTCAAAAGTCACCTTCTCCAGGAAGTTTTCTCTGATCCCTTCAGGTAATAGTCACTCTGGGTTAGTACCAGCTAATGTGGCAAGCACATTGTGCACAGTACTCAATTCGATTTGCTAAAATTTGGCTAAGGATTTTTGCATCTATGTTCATGAGTGATACTGGTCTGTGGTCTTCTTGTAATTCTCTTGCTAATTCTCAGAGATATGCTCATTTTATGAAATGAATTGTGAAGTATTCCCTCCTGAATTTTCTGGAGGGGTTTTTGTAGAACTGGTATTATTTCTGCCTTAACTGTTTGCTAAAATTCACCTGTGAAGCCCTCTAAGCCTGGAGTTTTCTTTGATGAAAGGCTTCTAACATCTCAATTTCTTTAGTAGGTATAGGGCTATTGAAGCTTACCTGTTTCTTCTTGAGTGAGCTTTCATAGCTTGTATCTTTCAAGAAATTTGGTATTTCATCAACACTGTCGAGTTTATTGACATAAACTTGTTCGTTATATTTCTTTTTTATCCTTTTAATGTCTGTAGGATCTGTAGTGATAGCCCCTTTCTGATTCATGGTATTAATAATTTAGGTCTTCATTTTTTTTCTGATCACTTTGGCTAGAAGTTTATCAATTTTATATTAATTTTATTGATATTTTAAAAGAACTTTCTTTTGGTTTTATTGATTCTTCTGTACTGTTTTTCTGTTTTTTATTGCATTAGTTTCTGTTCTTATCTTTGTTTCTTACCTTCAGCTGCTTACTTCAGATTTAATTTACTCTTGTTGTTGTTTCTTAAGATGGAAGCCTAATCATTGATTTTTAAAGCTAATTTATTTTATCTTACTTTTCAAAGTAGCATACAGTAAAGTTAACTTTCTGTGGGTAGTTCTATGAATTTTAGTACATATATGAAGTTGTGTGAGCACCACTATAATTAATATATGCTACAGTGTCATCAAAAAATTCCCTCAAGCTATTCCTTTTCAGCCATTCCCTCCCCGTACCAGTCATTGATTTTTAAACTTTTGTTCTTTCATAAAATGAGTTTAATGCTCTAAATTTTCCTCTAAGCACTGCTTTAGCTGCATGCAATAAATTTGATATATGTGGTTTTATTTTTATTTGGTTTAAAATATTTTGTAATTTCCTTTCTGATTTTTTCTTATCTTTGCTATCATCTGTGTAATTTCTAGCTATGTTTCTATTACTGATTTTTCTCCTGGTTTGGTTTTGGGATATCTATGTATCTATCTACCTATCTATCTATAAGGTTGACAGTTGTGAATCTTACATTGTTAGATGCTAAAGTCTTTCTTCCTTTTAATATTTTTTTGGCTTTATCTGGGACATGGATAAGTTTCTTGGAATCACTTTGCTCCTTTTCGAAGCTTGCTTTTAAGCTTTGTTGGTGTGAGTCCAGAACAGCCTTTAGCCTCAGGCTTACTTGGCCACACTCCTGAGGCAGTCCCCTTCTGAGGACTCTATGAGCCACTGTTAGGTCGTTTTTCCATGCTGGCTGGTGGGAACATGAACAGTTGTCAGGCCTGGGTGAGCTCCAGGGATCGTTCCACCTGCTTCATCCCAGTAGATCTTCCCCTTTCCTTGCTTGCACGCACAGAGAGAACTTAGCTGAAGCCTCAGAAGGAACCCTCTGCAGACCTCTACAGCTCTCTCTGTTCAGCTCCCTCCTCTCCAGTACTTTCTCCAGTACCTCTAGCAACCTTGGCCTCCCTCATCTCCAAACTCTGCCTTCTCATCCCAGAAAGACCAGAGGCTTTGCTTGGGTTTTCTCTCTGTGTGCTGAGGCCTGGAAACTCTTTCTAGACAGTGAGCTGAAGTACTGGGCCCACTGCCTTTGTTTCCTCTCTCTGAAGGTCACTCTCCTATACTGCCTGTTGTCCTGTCCAGCGTCTCATAACCATTGTCTTAAATATTTTGACAAGCTTTTTAGTTGCTTGAATCAGGAGAATAAATCCAGTCCATCATGGCTGGAAACCATGGCTTTAAAAAACACACACACTTTTATTGAGGTATAGTTGACATACAATAAACTGCACATATTTAAAGTGCACATTGATAAGTTTTGGCATATGATACAACCATGAAACCATCACCGTAAGACTGTGTACATATCCATCACCCCAGGTGTTCTCTCCTGCTCCTTTGTCACCCCTCCCTCTCCTCTCTCACCTTCTCCTCAAGCAACACTGAACTACACCCCATCACTATAGATTAATTGGCATTTTCTAGAATTTCATAGAAATAAAATCATGCAATATGTACTCTTTTTGTATGGCTTCTTTCAATCTACATAATTACTTGGGGATTCAGCCATGTCGTTGTGTGTATTGGTAGTCATTTCTTGTTGTTGTTGAATAGTATTCTGCTGTATGAATGTACCACAACTTGTTTATCCATTCACCTGTTAATGGGCATTTGGGTTGTTTCAAGTTTTTTACCATTACAAATAAGCTGCTATGAACATTTACGTACAAGTCTTCTA